AGAGTAGAGAGCTCGTGTCGCCGTTAAATGGCGCTGGCTTGTGTTGACGAGCTCGCGATCTTCAGGGTGACCAGGGCAATGTAATTTTAATGTGAAAAGGTTTCAAAGGAGATTGGCAATGGCTTATGGGTGGGGACAAGAGGAGATCAGCGTGGATGGGGACAGATTGCGCCGCCATCATGGTAGGTGGAGCGTGGATGCGTCACCAACATCAGGAGGTGGGGGACTTATAGTGGGGGTGGAAGAAAGATATGTTTAGAAAGAGAAATGGAACTAAAACTCATAGAGGATAACATTAATTGTCATTTGAATGAACTAAAACTTATTGAGGATAACATTAACGGTCTGTTTGGTTAAGCATTCGAGTAGTGATTTTGATTCATGGTAGAAATTTTATAAGTGAAGAAAATTTTGAATTTAAATTTTTTGTGAAATGAAAAACATTATAGTAGAATTAGGATCATAAATTCAAGTGTAGAGCCAGACATGACCTAAGTTTTTTATACCTAAACTCGAAAAAAAAATTTCAAAATATAAATTCCCAACTGATCTGCACTTGATCGTTTTTTAGATAAGTATATATACATACATATATATATATATATAATGTGTGGATCGGTTACTCTTTTCACATAATTTGCAATTAATCTTTACTTGATCGTGTTTTACAAAATATCAACTAATTTAGTGCGTACTTAATCAGTTATCGAAACCTTAATAATTAGATCTTGGGTCAGTTTAATTGATTTTTTGCAAGTTTTGAACACCATCACATTATTATTTTCTATAAATCTATGGTTGCTTCATACTCCAGACGCAGTCTGATCGAGTATTTCACAAGCAACAGAATGGCAAGGTCAACGCATTCTAGCTAGGCACAACATGACTCATTTGGTAGCCCTATCATAGGAGACTGCGTTTTTTTTAGAAGCGTGCAAACGTTTCGCACATTTCTCCTTTTACAATGACCCAAAAAAAAAAAAAAGTCTTCTTTTTTAAAGTTAGTCTTTTTTTTTTCTTTCTTTTCTCTTTTTTCTTTTTTCTTTTTTCCCTTTCTCAAATGTGATCCTAAAAATTTTTTTTTCCTTTAATTGTCGTATTGAAATAATTTCTTCACATATATGTCATAATTAAAACTCTTTTTTTTACAAAAGGATCCTCTCAAATACTTTTTTTACTATATATGTTCAATATTTTTTTTTTGCTTTCCGTTTCCCTTTTATTTTTGTTCCACCCACTTCTTTTACCCTGTCTTTTTTCCCTCTACAATACATTCTTTTTTCCCTTTCTTAAATGTGACCCCATTAATATATTTTTCTCTAATTATCCTATGGAAATAATTTATTTTCATATATGTCGTAATCAAAAACTTTTTTTATGAAGGGACCCTCTCAAATACTTTTTTACTATATATGCCCAATAAATAATTTTTTAAATGTGCCTTTACGAAAACATTTTATCTACAATTTTCTTAAATAAATTTCTTTCATGTGTGCCACGAAATAATCTTTTAAATCACCCCATTAAAAACTTTGTCCCTTTAATGTTGTTTTATTTAATATTTTTTCTACTGGATTTAATTTTTTAAAAAAGATAAAAAACATAAACAATAAAATTTTACAAAAAATAAAAAATAAGACCTCTATAGCAGAAAATAAAATGTTGAATACGCACACACGAAGCGCGTGTTTTCAACTAATAGATGTACTACATGCTTATATTTAATATTGGTTAAGGTCTTTAGTTTGTCGTACGATATAAGACCATCTCCAATATAAATACTAATACCAATTGTATATTTAGCATCAAAAAGTATGATAATATATGTTATTTTCATTTTTACTTCAATGCATAATACTATTTGAAATGCTAAATCTATTTTTTCTTATAATCATTAAGTTAAGTTGTAAAAGTAAACCTTTTATTTTTAAAATAATAAAAATTATGCAAAAGTTGTAATGATTACATGAAAAATTAAACATTTCAACCAATAACAATCAAATGTCAAATTTTTCATATGTTATAGTTAGTGAGAAACTTACCACAAAGTTTAGCATATTGGTAATTTGGCACAACAAATAGCATTTTATTGAATAGTGATTTTTGTACTCAAATGTTAAATTTTTAATTGGCACATCAATTATAATATTGCATTAGAGATGCTCTAAATACTAGTATTACTTTTTTTTTTTTTTTTGAATGATAGTATTACCCTATTTTCAAACTACACTATATTAGGAATTTTTTTTTTTTGAAAATATTAAAAATTAATTAAGATCATTACTAATATCCTATTATATATGAATTAATAATACTAAGAATTAATTAAGATCATCATTAATTCTTAAAACACCTTATCACCGTAGCGTGCGGCTAAAGGTCAGCACTAGTTGAGCAGTTAAATAATGCAGCAAATGATACAGTAGCTAATAATTACATGTGATAATACTATTCAAAGACCAAAACCTATCGAAGAGGTCAACAAAAAAACCGGAAGGAAAAAAATTCAAATCATCGGTCTAATTTTTATCTTTAAAATTGTGTCTAAACAACCGCATCATGCCATATTATTTAAAAACATTTTAAAGCTTCTTTAATTGACTCTTTCATTTTTTTTCATGATGATGTGATAAGATGTGATTGATTAGATACCATTTTGTACACACAAAAAATCTATAAGTGGCATGAATCTGGAAAAAAGGGGTCAACAAATTACGATTTATATGCGCTAAATACTAGATAAGATTGAAATTAAAATAAACTAATCAAGCTTAGTTGCTTAGTTTAGCAGGCAAAAGATGATGCACTCCAGCATTACTTTAACCTATTTAATTGACTGACTTAGGTTTATGTGTTAAATTATTCCAAGTTGGAGGATTACTAGCGCTGATAAAAGCCTAGACCACCTCACTCGTATGAATCAGAAGGTAAGTGATCAATAATTTAAGGCAAGAAGATGGCTCTACCATTCAAATGCCGAATCCTCTTCTTCTGTCTTGTGCTCTTAATGGTAAAGCAATTTCATTTTTATTAGTATAGTAATCTTATCATTTTCCTCAAGTCTATGATTTACTAAGTCCGTTAATAAACATGCACATATAGCTTACAATAATATTATAAACATGCACGTAGTATTTAAGCTTACCTATATACTCTTTACTTTTTTTTTAAGATATTTATGTCAAATTTTCTTTTATACGCATAACATGATAACATGAACATTGGGCGTAACATGGCCCCGTTCATTTCGCTGATTCGAGTTTAGAATTTGAGTTGAGATGTGATTTTATGTGAGAGCTTTTTACTGTAACAAAAAAGTTAGATGTGATTGTTTGTGAGAACTTTTTACTGTAGAAAAACTCAAATTTTAAACTCGAATCAGCAAAGTGAACGGGCCCATAATTGACATTGAAGTAACATTAACTATATTACGTCCATATATGGAGACTAAAAAATGTTGGACGTAACCAAAAAAACAAAGAAAATAAGGCTGCTGTTTGTTTTCTTATTTTTTTTTCTTTTTTATCAACGACCACCGCACTATTTGTAATTATAAAACAAAGAGTTAAATTCATGAAGGACCGCTGATCTTTCTTCTTTTTCTAGAATTAACTCCTTTATTAAAAATTATTCTATCTTAAACCGCAAATTCTTTTAAGTGTTTAAAATTTAATCCCTCAGTTAAACTTCCGTAATTTTGGATAGAAAACTATTGCAATCTTTTGATTTCACCTTAAATGATGACCAGTCTCGTAATTTTATAATATATCTTTTTTTTTCATGTGTTTTCACTGAATATTCTTTCAAGTGCTTTATTTATTACCTTTTTAGATAGAACGTCAAACCGTAGAGCTTTTCTTTATGTTTTATTTTCTCTGATACGTTTCCTCATACTTTATCGTTGTTGGTGTGTGTTAGATTTATATATATATATATAGAACTTACTATTCTTATTTTGTTTATTATTGATGAATCAGAATTATGACCTTTCTTATCAATTGAATATTTCAATTTTTTTTTTTTACTTGATAATTATGTTATAAAAAAGTTAAAAGGTATGAACTCTCTCTAAAATGGATGATTTCCTTTTTTTTCCCCCTAATTTTATGTATTTTCTTTGCACTTGTTATTTAACTACTATTAATTCAATATTTTCTGTCTAAATTTTATCAGAACTTTAACTGAGTGATTAAATTTGACACTTATAGAGTTTAAAGTTAAAGTTAAATAATTTTCAGTACAAGAACTAATTTTAAAAAAGAGAAAAATAAAGAAAAATCTTCAGAACCTCTGATGAATTTAACCTTAAAACAAAACTAGTATTATTGCAATGATTGCTTCCAATATAGTACTGATCGTAGGCACCAATTTGGCTTCTTTCTTTCTTTATATTTCTGTTTCTTTTTTTATGGAATATCGATCAAAGTCTTTAAGTATGAATCTCTCCACTCCCCTTCTTGACGAGAGAAATTTTCATCCATATGGCTAACCATAATAATTAATTCTATTGATCTATTTCTTTATGTATGGAGGTTATATAATTGGTATACGAATGGTATATCCGATATCGTCCAAAATTCCTAGGCATTTTCTTCTTTCCTTTTTTTTCTTTCTTTCTTTCTTCTTTTTTTTTTTAGCGACATTTTGCTACTTTCCAACTCTTGTGATGAGTTTCATGCGCATTATCGTCAAAAGATTACATCATGTAAAATTAAGCAAATGTATTTTTTCAAAAGAGAACCAAAAAAAAAAAGGCAGATGTCAGATTATTACTAAACCATCACATTCATCTACATTTCGCGCGCACACGTGCAGAGAATGTACTTTGACATTGATGTATAATGAAGTTGAGTTATATAAGGTGTGTTCTACAACTTAAATTTTTTTATGTGAGAGAACATTATAGCAAAAAAGTTGAATTTGAATTTTTGTGAGAGATTACACTGAACAAAAGAATTTGAGTTGGCAAATGAATAAGTTCATTTACATTTCAAATGTAGGGTTGCACCAGCGGAGTGAGAAATACAATCAAGCAAGACTCGAAGGAATGTGATGAAGTTTATGTAACAGCATATGGAACTGGCACTGCAAATGGTCACGAAAAAGTAGAAGTTGAAAATGATCAAAAAGAGAATCCAACTTATATAGCTCGCAACGAGGAGGGCGCAGGGGATGAAATAAACCAGGCTTACATAACTGGTTATGGGGGAGAAAGAAACGAACTCGTCCTACGTAAGAGGTGCCAAAGAATCAAACAATCCCTACGTAACTAGTAATGGGGGAGAGAAGGAAACGAACCCATCCTACGTAACTAGTTATGGAGGCGCCAAAAAACCAAACCAGCCATCCTACGTAACTAGTTATGGGGGAGAGAAGGAAACGAGCCCGTCCTATGTAACTAGTTATGGACGTGCCAAAAAATCAAACCAGCCACCCTACGTAACTAGTTATGGAGGCGCCAAAGAATCAAACCAGCGCTACGTAACTAGTTATGGGGGAGAGAAGGAAACGAACCCGTCCTATGTAACTAGTTATGGAGGTGCTAAAAAATCAAACCAGCCATCCTACGTAACTAGTTATGGGGGAGAGAAGGAAACGAACCCGTCCTATGTAACTAGTTATGGAGGCGCCAAAAAACCAAACCAGCCATCCTACGTAACTAGTTATGGGGGAGAGAAGGAAACGAGCCCGTCCTATGTAACTAGTTATGGACGTGCCAAAAAATCAAACCAGCCACCCTACGTAACTAGTTATGGAGGCGCCAAAGAATCAAACCAGCGCTACGTAACTAGTTATGGGGGAGAGAAGGAAACGAACCCGTCCTATGTAACTAGTTATGGAGGCGCCAAAAAACCAAACCAGCCATCCTACGTAACTAGTTATGGGGGAGAGAAGGAAACGAACCCGTCCTATGTAACTAGTTATGGAGGTGCCAAAAAATCAAACCAGCCATCCTACGTAACTAGTTATGGAGGCGCCAAAGAACCAAACCAGCACTACGTAACTAGTTATGGGGGAGAGAAGAAAACGAACCCGTCCTACGGAACTAGTTATGGAGGCGCAAAAGAATTAAACCAGCGCAACATAACTAGTTATAGGGGAGAGAAGGAAACGAATCTGCCGTACGTAACTAGTTATGGGGGCGCCAAAAAAATAGACCAACCCTATGTAACCGGCAATAGGGGCAAGAAACAAACAACTCAACCCTACATTACCCGCAATAGGGGCAAGAAACAAACCAACCAACCCTATATAACTCAATATGGGGACACCAAAGAAACAAACCAACCCTACGCAACTAGTTATGGAAGCACCAAAGAGACAAACCAGCCCTACATAATTGCTTATGGGGAAGCCAAAGAAAAAAACCAACGTCCCTATATAACTGGGTATGTGAACACCAAAGCCGATCAACGTCCTTACATCACAGGGTACAACGACGGTAAAGGGACAGAGGAACATCCCTATGTTACCGCGTATGAAGATTTGAATCCAAAGTCCAAGTGCAAGAGCCATTTGCATACACGGCACGATCACATGATGGGACATGAAAATCATATGCAAGCACAAACTTCAACCGACATGGATCATACTGAAGCATTCAAAGTAGGCTTTTTCACGCCAGATGATCTGTATGCAGGGAAGATCATGCCTCTGTACTTTCCCATCGAAGATCATTCTTCTCGCTTCTTGCCCAGAGAAGTAGCTGAGTCCATTCCTTTTTCAGTGTCACAACTCCCCAACCTTCTCCAGCTCTTCTCAATCCCACAAGGCTCTCCTGAAGCCAACGGGATGGAAGAGACACTCCGAGACTGCGAGCTCAAACCCATCAATGGAGAGATCAAGTTATGCGCCACCTCTTTGGAGTCCATGGTTGAATTCGCTCGCAGCATAATCGGCTCACAGGTCAACTTGAATCTACTATCAACTACTCACCCCACAATGGCAACAGATATCACACAGAACTACACTGTCTTGGAAGGCCCCAAACAAGTTTTAGCTCCCAAGATGGTGTTTTGCCATCCCAAGCCTTATCCTTACGCAGTTTTCTTTTGCCACTTCTTTGGGACAGAGACCAAGGTTTTGCAGGTTCCAGTACGAGGTGATAGCGGAGATGATGTGGAAGCAATGGCTGTTTGCCACATGGACACTTCTGATTGGGATCCTAATCACGTATTGTTTAGCCTGCTCGGAGTCAAGCCAGGTGCCTCCTCCCCAGTGTGCCATTTCCTGCCAAAAAATCATCTTGTTTGGATTCCGTCACCAACAACAGCAACTGTGTAGGCATAGTTCCCTAGTATGTCGTTGTTTCTGCAATAAAGCTCCATCACTGGAGTTCTAATAATGTAATCAAAGTCTCTGCTTCTGCTTGTTGAAACTGCTTTCCTTGTCTGATGTCTAGAAATTATCGTGTAAAAAAAATAACACCAATTATGGTCCTATGGAGGTGGTCTTTTACCTAAATACCAGATGCGAGTCTGTAGAGTGTTGAACATGCCAACGTTGCCAACATGGTACTTTGTGTAATGACACTAAACATTCTCTTATATATTAGACCATGTACTCTAAATTGGAAAAAAGATGGAAAACTCAGCTGCAAAAGAAGAAAACTAGCATGCAAAATCTGCTAAACGAGTTCTACAAAATGAAATTTATTCATTTATGCGTCAATCCACAAGAATAATAGTTCAGTCTGAATTCTCATTTAGTTTTTCCCCCTTTCCCTCTGCGAAGGATCTGTTTGTTCGACAATGGGTTTTACATTTATAACTTGGCAGAATACAGTTGAGGTTGTATACAATGAAACGTACAGATATACAGCAAATTCAGAAACCGTGAACTTTGCATTGATGTGCATCTCTTCTCTTTGCACAAGTTCTCCAAAATGATCACGTCTTAGGGCACGAATCATTTACCTGTTTGAAGGAGAATAGCATGCATAAGTTCAAACAAGTATCTATGGAGCTTTCTCCAAGTCCAATTTTATTTTCAGTTCATACTCAGGCTGAAAGTACTAAGTGGGACAGTTAATAAAAAGTTAATGTTCTTGGTTCCCCAATGTAAAAGAGATTCATACTGAAGCACTACAATTTTTAAGAAAAACAGAAAGAAATTGATAATCTCAACAACGAAAAATAAAATTCCTTCACAAGTGAAAGTAAAGAAAAGAATTGCACAGGTAGAAGTCGAAATTGTGGTGAAGCGAAAGCAAAAATTGCATAACATAAATATTTCATTTACCAATTACAAAAAGACAACAAATTTGCAAACTTGTCAAGTTATTATCAAATCAATGGCTCACTTTCATACCATAGGAGAGATAATAACGCATGCAAAAAGGGGAAGCACTTACCATAATTTTGGCGCACCATGGTAAACTTATAAATGGCTTTAACTAGGGAACCATATCTCATGTATGCCAATGATCCCATATGTCTGAAACAAAATACGCAACTCAGTCAAATGGAAGAAAACAGGACATCTAAGTGTTACAACAATAAGAATCCCCTGGTCGCAAAAGGACTAAGATGAGTTTCTCAAAAATTAAAATGCAGTATCTAGATTTTTTAACTCGAAACCCTTCATTACTCAGAATTTAGAAACAAACTTAGAAGCAAGAAAAGAAGGGAAAAAAAAAAAGGAAAAAAATTTTATGGTCATTTTATTCCAACACAAAGTAGCAACTCTCTGAGTATGTGTGCACGGGCGCACACGTTCTTCAAAGGTTACATTCCTTTCAAATAGACAACTGAAAAATAACTATAAACAACTGACTGAAAGAGAGTAATATAGCAGTTCTTTTTTTTCCTGGAATTTAGCAGTTCCCTTAATAAGATGTAGCTTCTTCATATGGAGTCTAGACTTGTGTGACAACAAAGTGAGCCAAGTCTTTGCATAGATTAATAGCTTAAGTACTGAAATATTCATAGTATAAATTGTCGGGGGAAAAAAAAAAACAAAACAAAACAAATATTCATGGTAGAAGAATACAGAGAAAAGCATGTAACTAAATTCATGACTTATTTCAAAGGAACACTCACACAATCTCAGTATATCGAATTCTCCAAGCAGGGAAACCTAGGTGGCATCTTGCAGATCCATAGACTAATAGGAGGTCAGGTTCTGGCCCACTGCATCCTGGCAGCATACGAACAAAATACCAAAAATGTCAAAAGTAATGAGTTCAATCAAAACCAACCATCAAGCACATTAACATTGGGACAAACCAATAGCTTTCAATGCGTTGGCCATTTTTGCTTCAGTAAATACTTTCTCTTCCTGATCTCCATCCAAATCGGCCAATTTCATATACTTTTCAAAAAGTAAGTTAGCTGCTTTAATGACAGATTCCTTCCCATCAGCCAATGAAGCAAATTCCAGAGTCATACAGTTCTGGCTAACTAACTTATCCTTTTCAACAGCTTCCTGTACATGGTAAACATTAAGTTAGATGTTGTCATTCTAGTGAGATAAACGTGCCTTGAAAACAATAACAAGAAACGAATTGCACATGTTTATCAAAGTAAGAAAACATCGCAAAATAGCTATATGTACGATGCAAATGCATAAATCATGTAGGAGTTAATGAATCAAGATAGCAGCCAGAAATAAGAAAAGCTATCAATACATGTAGATTTCCAAATGAAGTTTCAGGAAGTTACTCCTAGCTTAATTGCATTCTAATAACGCCGAAATCCTGTATATAGTACGTACACACGTGCATGTGCACACATATATATGAAGACAATCCAACACATAAGGATGTCCAATACAGGCACAAAAGATTCATTGCGACAAAATGTCTTTGAACACATAAAGAAGCAAGTAATTGAGTACTGCACAGTGGTCAAAAAATAAAATTAAAAAGTAAGGCAAAGGGAAGAGATGATAACACCTCAAATATTGTAACATTGTCCAATTCCTCCAAGATGGCGTCCTTTGATTTCTTCATTACTCCTTAACATCAGCAACCAAAAAAAAAAGACATTGAATTACAATGCCCATATTTAAATCCTATGTTCCAATCATCCAAGAACGACAATGCTTAAACAGTTTAAATTGTTACCTTCTGCATCATAAAGGCAAATATACTTCACGCCAATAGCTTCTAGCCACAATAAAAGCTTGATAATCCTTGATGTTTGGTAAGCTTCTTCACTTTCTACGACAATGGCCAGGTACCGCACTTTGCCTCCATTGAAGGCTTTGTACTTCTTCCACAGCCCACTAGAGATAAGATTGCTTTCAAGTACATGAGCTATTCCAACCACAAAGTAGTATATGCTGACAATGAGATGTAGAATATGCCATAGAAGTTGAAGCACAAAATTTCCAATCTGCACAAACCTCAAAATCAATGAATCACAAACAGTAAAAAAGGCCAATAATCGTGTTTTCCCCATAAACATATTAAGGGAAGACAACACCGAATCTACGTTAACATTCTCATAGTGAACTTTAGGGATGCTTGACTAAAAGTTATAAATTTAAGAATTACATGATGTAAGGAGATTTAGGCATAAGTAGTCGTTTTTTTATATTTTCACATATCGTTTATTTTAGCTTATTAGTTTAGCTTAGTTTTGATTAGTATGTCGTTTATCTTAGTCGTTATTTTGTTATCGTTTTCTATGTGAGCTATAAATAGCCACTTAGTTATTGAATTGAGAAGACTTGAATTTTTTGATAATTGAATTAGAGTTGAGTTTCCTCTCCATTTTGGGGGTTTTCCCCTTTGCGAGGTTCTTTTTGGTGGATTTAGGAATCCTCCGTTCGGATTAGGCCTGTAAAATCATGTTCTATCCATTCCGCTGCATCATTACAAACAACTAGAAGAAAATTGGAAGAAAAAACTATTGCGAAGTTTTTAAACACTAATAAGATCCTTAAGAAGAAGAAGAAGAAACAACAAGGATTTCATGTCTCCTATATTTTGTTCTGTTTTTTCAGTTCTAGTAAAAGTTGTTTCTTATCACAAAATCCCTCAAAACAAAGACTTTCTACTCTTTCCTATCAAACTAGATGGCCAGGAGCATTAAGAAAACTCTCGGAGCCCCATTTATAAAACTTAAAATCTTATATTTGAGGTATTATGTAAAGAATTAAAAATCATACATCAACAGCTTCAATAACATTATGCCTGGAAGCTCAATAGATTCTGATGAAGGTTATTAAACAAGTTCTGAAAGAAAATCCATTCAAATTTCAAGTCAAACATGCCCTTTCAAGTCATCCACTCCAAAGATATTGGTTTTCAACATCATCTGACAACAATCTCTGCTCTTTTTTTCCATTTTAGTTACATTTTTATTCATTTATTTACCTTTTGCTGGCAGATGGCAATATCTATAAAAAATCTATTGCTCTGTATGCCATAAGGTGATAATTCCAAGCACCAGAGAGTTGAAACCCAGTTTTCACTCGTCTCAAACAGGAAAAAAAAAATTCTATTTTGAGGATATGCACAAGTGTTATTAGACTCCTACGCCTTATGTCCCCATTCATCGCTTTTTTTAATGAAAGAATTTTTTGCAGTGGCTCCACTATTTTACAATTAAAACTAGTCTCTTTTTTTAGATAGAAAGATCCAGAAACAAGCTTATAATCTACAACATTGGACAGAAATTTAGATGACACAATAGCAAAATGCACCAAAAATGCAATGGGCACGGTACCCTTTGGCGCCACTAAACGCTTTTAAGGCAATTGGTTCTTGAATATGAATAAGCAAAAGCCAGAGTATTGAATATGAGAGCACTTTGCACTTACTTGAGAAATATAATAGTATGCTTTCCAAGTCATTTCTCTAAACTCCATTGTCTGTAAACCTTGAAGAATAAAAGAGAGAGATGAAATCAACTTTGCAACTTCGCCCTGACAAGAACGAAACAGACCCAATTTATTGAATCATTCAAATGAGAAGAAAGAAGGTACAATTCAAGAAAGAAGAAAAGGATGAAATATGTTGCTATCTAATAGAAAGGATGAAATATGTTGCTATCTAATAGAAAGGATGAAATATGTTGCTATCTAATAGAATCAGTGTGTGTGTGCACGCAAGAGAGAGAGAAAACTAAGAAAGAGAGAACAAATATTACACTTTCACAAATGACTCTATCAAGCTTAATCATACGAACCCATTTTTCCAATACTAAAACCAAACAAAAATAAGTCAACTCCATGACCAGCATCCAATAATTTACAGACGGTACTAGAAGAACAGTAATAATTAAGGCTCCTTAGTAGTGTAGGCACCATAAAGACCCAATTGAAAGGTTTGGACCTAACTGGGGACCCCATAGATGGATAAGCTATGACTTGCAACTTGTTATACTTCTAGCTTCAAGACTATTTATGCCTCAGCCAGAAAGGCCTCAACCACATCATCATCTGGTTTTATTAATTAACTTTCATTGTAGTTGATGTGGCCGTAACAAGCAGCTTCAATTTTTATTTTTATCTCTTTTTTCCCCCAAAAAGGCACAACAACTAAAGTAACAATATATTTAATCAGAAATGACATCCAACATGAGGCCCTTATGGTCGATCTGCCTGTGGATTATGTCTGTTCTGCTTCTATGTGTAACATGTTTTATTAAAAAAAAAAACTAAATAGATAAATAACAACCAATCACTTCATAAGTCTAGAAGTACTGTTGAAAGATTATTGTTCTTTTATTTACTAATCCCATTATTCTTTATACAGTATAGAGAAATTAAATTAGGTAACATTATCATCACCATCTCCTCACCTCAGTATGGGAATTTCCCCAAATCTTTTTATAATGTAATAGGATCATTCATTCTGAAATTTCACAGCAAATAAATAGATTTCAGACACAAAATTAAAAATGAAAATAAAAATTTGCTCAAGTCTTTATATCCCGATCATTTGTTCTGAAGGAAGGACACAAATGGGAGTACCTACAGCCCAGCAATGACTAAGAGCAGCTTCAAATGCTTCGGTCAACTTGAATAAATCGGGGCTAATTAGACTTCAATTATATTCCAATTTTCAAAGAGTAAATAGTCTTTTGAGTGAAATTTGAATTACAAAATGTAAAAAGGGGAAAAAAATAACTTGAACAACAACAACCTAAACAACTCATACATTATCTTTTTTTCAAAATGTCAAACAAATGAAAACGACCATTGATTGGAAAACAGGATCAGTCTTCACAGCCACTTTTTGTGTGAATATTTCTAATAAGAAAAACTGAAAAAGAAAGAAAGGTTGAAATGGAAATGTTTTGAGAGTGAAGAAACGATTACCGGAGACGAGATGGCGACAGAAACCGGAGATTATAGTCGTACTTTGTTACCTCCCACCCAATTCCACGATTCTCAAACAATTACCATTTTGTTTTATATTTTAAAAAAAGGGAAAAAAAACATGTATGGAAGTGAGGACGTCAGAGTATAAAACTGATATCTACTCAAAATAGTCAAACACTCAAAGCAGCCACAGAGGAAATGGTTGGCAATTCATGTTCGCGGGCCGTGTTCAAGCCGACACGATTATGGCATGACACAATTATAGTAAACACGAACCACGATTAATAAACGTGTCAAAACCTAAACACGAACACGGAACGCTAATAACACGGTTAACACGACACGACACACGAACACGATTACTAAACGGGCCGTGACAGGTTAACATGAAAAAAAAAAAAAAAAAAAAAAAAAAAAAAAAAAAAAAAAAAAAACATGTTTATGACCCAAGTAGCAAAAAGTAGCGAAATTTTATAGGTATTCAAAACTAATATTAATTGACTACTTAATAAAATAAGAACATATAAAGAGAAAAACATAAATTCTCCAAAGAAGTTTGAAAACATAACCAAGTACATCTAAATGAGTTTGAAAATATAACCAAGTACATATAATGTTTAAGTGCATAAAACATAAAATAACTATAGGAAAATGTCTTCTTTGAGGTTGAATTTCCAACTACACTCCAAAAGTTTCCACTTGCTTTAACCTATTCATGAAAGAAGAAAACATTTTATTGATCTGTGCTATAGCTATGGAATGTCAATATATAAATAAAATTCATGTTACCTTCCATTGCATTTGAGATGTTGTGGTTGTTAGAATTTTGAGATGAACCAGAATAAAGACCAAACACATTAACACTATCAAAATAAAGACCACCAATCTCTTAGTGAATAGAGAGTCATGTTTATGTTTCTATATTATTTTAGATCTATTCTGTATCATAGTTGTACAAAACCAAATAACTCTATCAAAGAATAGTATTAAGACTTAAACTAAAGTATTTCCTTACAATGTTTGCTAACATAAACATGTTAAAAAGTTGGAGATGATCATGCTTGGAGATATATATGATTTTCAAACAGATTTGCCAGCCTTTAAGAAGACTTACCTTCTTGAGGACAGAAAATAAAATAGGGTATTAAATGATAAGCAGCTTGAACAGCTTTGGGAAGATCCCTTGCCTACAATAAAAATTCATGTTTAGCTTTCAGGTAACTACTGATGGTATATCATGGCAACTTTATCATCTCTGTGCATGAAACAACTTTCAAGAGTCAAGACACAGGACTAAGTTGATTGGCTTGCTCTCAGGACTAAGCTATTTTTCAAAGGAAAAATTAATAAAATCCTCCCTTTGGTTTTGCTTTGTCTTCTGAAATAATACTCTATTTCCAGAACTAACAATATATATCCTGATATTTATAAATTTCATCAAAATAAACTCTAGATAGGTTCACGTTCAGTATTTACAGAAAATACTCAAAATAATAAAAGAAAACAAAGCAGAATAAAATAATAATAACAACAATAACAACAAAGGAAAGAATAGAAAAACTGCTTTTTTATAAGAAAAATACTCAATCTTTACCTGTCCAGGGTTATGTGATACAATATGCAAACTTGGCGAGCACCGTTATTTACAGAACACAGGGTTGTTTTAGATAGAAGAAAAAAAAATAAAGCAAAGGAAGTTTTAGTAATTGCAAGTACTAGCATGTTCGGATTTCACATTTCAAAAACAATTGTGTGGGTTTTGTTTGCTTCCGAAACCTCACACACAAGGCTTTATGGGCTTAGCTAACTCTTTTCTCGAAGACTTTCTTCACTTTGGCTTGCTTCACCCAATTATCATTAAAAAAACAGACAAATTAAGAGAGAGAGAGAGAGAGAGAACAAACAGAGACTTACACGAAAACAACGGCGGGAACGCGGAAGAACCGAAGAGGCTGCGGTGAAGAATGGAGAAGAAGAGAACGCGGAAGATCAAGAACCGAAGAAGAAGAGAGGCTGCGCCGCTTAAATCTAGGGTTAAACAAGCGAGGAGCGCACTGCATTAGATAGTCTTACAAGGGGCGTTTGGTACGCAGATGGAATCATTCCTAAAAAGTGATGGGATAATATGATTTTCATAAATAATACATTTTGGTTTATATAAAAATTTTATTTTAAATTCTTAAAAATAATACATTATTGTGTTTAATTATACATAGAAATATTATGCATTAAAAAACATTTTTTTAAATGAATTACACCTAGAAAAGAAAAACAAGCCATACTCATCCCAGATCCTATATATATGCATTGTCAAATAACTATCAATGCAGACACTATACATATATATATATATCATTAGCAATATACATATATATATATATATATACACTTTTAGCAATATAGATATACATACATATATATATATATATTCTGGTTTTGGATACACTTTTAGCAATAGATATACATACATATATATATATATATATTCTGGTTTTGGTCCTCAAGGCCTAATGTTAAGCGGAAGGGATTTTGGTAACATATTCTGTCATTGCAACTAATAAACTCTTTTAGCCTTTTTTGAATAACAACAATAAACTCTCTTAGACATTTTAACAAACACCTAAAAGATTATGTCAGCCCAATTCACACAAAACATACATAAATTGCTAATCTTATCTAAAACAAAAGTAACTACCATCATCAGTAACTACCATCATCAGAAACAATGAGAAATCATTTTTCACCTTCTATGTCCGAAACCACATGTCTCAGACTCGAAGCAGGTCCAAAAATTTTAGAAGAATAAAGGTTGGTGGCATGGAGAATGTCGTTCTTGAAGATAATCAAATTCATGCATAGGGGACAAAGTTGACCACTGTCTGCCAATTGCCATTAGCAATTTTAAAGAAAGAACCGGAAGAAGTTTGAAAATAGGCCCTCTTTCAAACAAAGACAATCAAGAAGGACTTCAAATTACATACTACTGTTCTTTTCGATAGCTAATAAGTTAAAAGGGTAATGTCAAGTTACTTGTAGCATAATTACAGTTCTTCTTTGAAACCTAAGTTAATGAAGTGCACACATACTCTGAGCAACTAATGGACAATCTCAAGGCTTTATCTTCACCGCCTCAAACGCCTAGATAACATCTTCACCGAATCATAATTCTTGACAGTACCACTTTAGTTCCTGCAAGATATTGTCAATAGTTTTAAGCACGGTCAATCCATATGTTCTGAAGTCCAAACAATTAGTAAAATATAATTTACTTTGCATAAAATGGCCAGAACAGAAAAAAAAATGATCATAACGGAATATTATTCATGAATGCAGATAATGGCTAATTTCGTATTTCCATCTCATGGTACGTATCTAGCAAGAATGTTTCATGGCTTCTGACAGAGGATCTCAAGAACCTAAACCTCAAGTTTTTGTACATATATTACAAAACTTAAGTGTTAATTGAAAGAGAAAAACAGAGTTTAAGAGCAAAATTGATGAGCCACGGAGAGAGAAAGAGTACCGATGATGAAGAAACTTCAAATCTCGTTTGTCGGCAACGAATTGGTACAAGCTAGAAGCGGCAAAGGAAAGAAAAATGGAGAAAAAAGGAATCATACTCTGGTGGTGGCGGCAGAAGAAAGTCCAGCAACGGCGTGCTAGATCGGAAGGGGGGACGGCATGCTGGATCGGAAGGGGGGATGGCGTGGTGCATCAGAAGGCGGCGACGGCGTGGTCGACGGAAGAGATTCCACCAGGCTAGACGAGAGACAGGCGGCTGGGCTGAGAAGAGATTGGTGAGAGAGAGGTTAGGGCAGATTAACTCATTTCAAAAGGCCATTCGAGTTTTTAATTCGAGTTGAGATGTGATTTTAACCTTATTCATTTTATCGATTCGAGTTTAGAATCCGAGTTTTGCTACAGTAAAAAGCTCTCAGAAACAGTCACATCTAACTTTTTTACTACAGTAAAAAACTCTCACACAAAATTACATCTCAACTTGAATTACAAACTCGAATAAACGAAGTGAACGGGCCCAAATATGAGAACTTTTTACTGTAGTAAAAAAATTTGATGTGACTGTTTGTGGAGCTTTTTACTGTAATTAAACTCGAATCAGCGAAATAAACGAGACCTTTATTTTTATCCACCAGGCTGAATAAGAGACAGACTGAGAAGAGATGGGTGAGAGAGAAATTAAGAGCAAATTATTTCTTTTTTTTTCGCATCGTGCTTTAGAATTCATTTTAAAATAATTTTATTTTTACATAAAAATAGAAATAAAAATATGTTTAATCTCAATTAGAAATTATTTTTGAAAATGTATTCGGTAATTTTATCAAAAAATTATTTTTAGTATAAAAAAACTCATAAAATACTCGAGAGAGGAGAAAACAAAAACAAAAAATCGTTTTCATTTCTGTTTTTTATCTTTAGTTGTATTAAACGCCGTTTTAAAATCGTTTTCATTTTTTTTTCGAAAAACGTAAAAAATAAAAACAAGAACAATTCTAAACACGGCAGTAATATTACTTTCATGGGAAAGTAAATAACACCATGTTAGGTAGATTTAAGATTACCCTAAAATGTGGTAATGTGAAACCTGGATTTCGCTTTTTTGGATTTTAGAAAAGTTAAACAATTATACCAAATATGAAAATCTGAAAGATTCTCATTCTTACCTCTGAGATTATCCCTACCAAACACCCCCATATAGTCTTGTTACCAGGCCGCGTCGTGTCGTGTTGGCCCGGTAACGGCCCGTTTAATTAAACAGGTTAAACAGACTAGCACGAATCAAGTACATTTATTTTCGTAGTATTCGTGTTAGCCTGTTAACGACCTAATTAATAATTGTGCAGTCTAAACTCATTTATCAATGTCGTTTTTATATCGTTTTATCGTATCGTACCCGAAATTATCAGCGAGAAAATGCCATAATTTGACCCTTTAAGTAATTGATGAGCCTTTGATAAATTTTAACACCATTCTTAGGCCTTTCCGTTAAACTCCATTAAAAACCGGATGAAAATGTATGACCTTTGAAGAACGAAAATGTAAAACCACGTGATGTTAAAAATTAAAGAGTAATTTGCACTATAATTGTTTTAATTTTTTAATAAGTGACACTTTAATCTCTCTTTCTTCAATTTTGACAAAACAAATCCCTCATTATTAAATCCTTTGCAATTTTAAGGTTTCCCGTTAATTTCAGTCACTTTCCTAACATAATATATCACATGCAAAACATGTGTTTCAATCTAAGAGGGCCTATTAGTAAAATAACAATAATTTACAGTTAACAAAAGATCAAAATTGAAAAATCCTAAAATAAGCACAAATTCCTTAAAAAATTAATAATAAACAAAGAACAAACATAAAACTCTGCAAAATTTCTTGTGTGTTGAGTAACCCAACAAAGAACAAACATAAAACTCTGCAAAATTTCTTGTGTGTTGAGTAACCCAACAAAGAACAAACATAAAACTCTGCAAAATTTCTTTTGTGTTGAGTAACCCAACAAGTAGGTGAGAGAGAGGGGAGAGAGAGCGGAGAGAGAGAAGAGGCAGCGCCGGAAAGAGGGAGAGGGAAAGGATGCAACGGCGGCGTGGGGAGAGAAAAGATGTGGCAATTATTTCCAGTAAATGCCACAATCAAATAAAGAACCAGGCGAGATTTCAAAGATAAAGGAAAAAAATAAAAAAATAAAAACCAATTACAATTGAGATAATTGGGATTACCTTGAAGAAGTGAGATTAGAGGTTGAGGAGAAGAAGGAGACGGAGGCTCAGTCCTGTTGGAATCGAATTTGACAATCTCTCAGCTGCTCTGCAAGATTCGATATTGTTACCGTTGTTGATCCATCTTGTCTCTTCAAGCAAACTTCTTTCCTTTCTCTCTCTCAATCTCTCTCTACAAAGGTTTCAGAGGTAGTTAACGAAGAAGACGATGCAGAGACTCGAACGAATTGAAAGAAGAGAGAGAATACAGAGCGAGAGAGAATCAAACTTACGGCGTTCGCTAAGCCGACGACACCCATTCTTCACGAACGACACCAGCAGCCTAACCCAATCATGATTTTGACTGGGTTTCTATATGATTTTCTTTGGATTTTGTTGTTATATTGATTGGATTTATGTGATTTTGTTTATTATTATTATTATTATTATTATTTTGATTAGTTGGTGATTTTGGTTGTGGTGAACGAGTGGGTGGATGGATGGCAAGGGTTGGCGGCGGACGGTAGATGAATATGATTTTGTTTCGGATTTTTTTAGGGTTTCACTTTTTTTGTTGGAGGAATATGATTTCGGATTTTTTTAGGGTTTCACTTTTTTTGTTGGAGGGTATTTTGGTCTTTTCACTGAAAATGGCTTGATTTGTTGATCACATGTAAGAGTGGTAATTTGAGTCATGACACGACAATAAACTCGAATCTCACACGAAATTAGCCGGTTTGAGTTTACAATAAATATGTTTGGGCCTGTTGATGGTTGTTTTTGTATCAAGCCCATACAATGGTCCAGGCCCAATAGTTCTGTCTCGTGACGAGATTAGGCTCGATTCGTAGACCAAAGTCACGCTCGGAGAACTCGTGTGGGCTTGGTTTGGTGAGCCATGGGTAATTGAACGGGCCTATTTGTTTCTTAGTCCGATCTGATTTTAAATACCGCTTGGAGGGTTTTAAAATAATTGGGCTTAGGAATGAATGAGTGATGGAGAATCCAACCCCAAAATCCTTTGTTTTGCCTTTTAGGAGTCTTAGTGGTTATTCTTTTGCATTTTTGAGTTACAGTGATTTGAGTGATGATTTTGAGTTGAGTTTGAGTTATAACTTAAGTTGAAGTTGTAACTTGAGTTTGTATTTGGATGTGCACATTTGAGTTATGATCTAAATTGAGAATCTTTTTGAGTTTGTGTTTGGGTGGGTCAAAACTTAAATTTATATTTAGATAGTATTTTAATAAAAACTCAATGGTGATGAAAAATTTTAATAGGGTATATGAGTGGGGTTTTATTCGTCTTTTTGTTGTGAATGCATAGAAAAAAAATCATCTCAATCAGAATTAAAACGAAAAAGTTATGACATTTTTAAGAATAGAAAAAATATTGTTCATTAATTTGAGTTCGAGTTTCTCAACTCGAGTTGAAGGGAAAACTTGAACTCGAGTTTAGCCCCAAACTCGAGTTCAAATTCGAGTTCAAACTCAAATTTTACAAAAGAACATGAACTTGAATAAAGTTGTAACTCGAGTTCAAAATTTTTCTGAGTTTTGTTTCAAAAGAACAACCCCTTAAAAATCCTTCTAGCCTTTAGAGACTTGAAAGTTCAGAATTTAAATTGTGGAACCTTCCCCTCTGATGCTAGATGAGGAGTTTTTGTGCTCCGAAGCTGGCAAGGATTCGTTTCCGTGATAGTTGTTGCTCTGAAGGCGTCACAATGGACACCCCACCAGAGACATCACCACAAATGCCACCATGGAGATACTTCCCATGCTCTAAGAAACTCTTATGTGACTGAAGATACTTCCTATGCTCCGAGAACCTCTTATATCCGAAAGGTATTGAATGTGGCAGGTGCTCCAACGACGACTGTTTAGCCAAAATCGGAAGGCGGCGCTCTGAAGCTAGTCTGACGTGTGTTCAGACATCCGAGAATAGATCGTCTACGGAGCACTAGATTTAGTCAAACACTCCATCATCTCCAGACTTGGGGAAGGTCCAATGTCAGCAAGAATTCTGAATTTCGTCTCCAAATACAACCATTTTTTGCCAATTTATTTGTCAAAGAGGAAAGTCACCTAATGCAGGTGCTCCGGAGGGAAATGGTTCGTACATGCCTATGGCAAGGCATGACTGTACGACTCCAGAGCAACCACCCAAGACTCCTAAACTTTCTCCTATAAATACCCCTTAGCGTTTTCATTTTAAGGGACATACACATTATACTTATGAGACCCTTTTTGACTCACATTCCTTCTGAGAGATTACAACTTCAGTTCATCCCTATGAGAGTTGTTCTTCAAACTTGTGCTCTTCGGGTTTGAGGTCCTTCATAGAATTTTCACTCAAAAAGTCTCAAAACACTTTGTTTGATCTACCCAAACTCGCCTACAAGCTACATTTGAAGTTTCTAGGGTTTCTTTGGAGGTCTGAAAATCCACCTCTGTGGCTAGACTTTGCTGTCCCAGAGCACACTTCCAGAAAACCATAAACTTTATATGCTGATACACATTCTCGGAGACAACCTGTGTTTGTTCTCCGAGCACTCATCTGAAACGGCCTTATCCGCATTTTATGAGTCAGATAGCCGCTCCGAAGCCAACTCGTGCTTGTCCTTAAAGCATTCCTCTTAATAGCCATATCCATTCTCTCCGAGTCAAATATCCATCAACTGTTTGGTTACTCCTCCCACCATACTTCGTCCATGCGATCTCTATGACTGAGTTCAACATCTTCCCACGCACATAGTTAACAGTGCCTTAACAACTTGGCAGCAAGATGGGCCTTAGAATCTGATTTCTTCGGCTTAATTTGGGCCTAATCAATCCTTTATTCTTCATTAGAGGTCGTACTGTACAAGCTCCTCTGCAAATGCAGCGTGTTTCATCCGTGTCAGCATTGACACCACTGAATTCGGTACTTGCACGTGTATACCTTGTACGCGTCGTTCCCACTGAATCTATCGGGCCCCAATAGGGTCATATTCGAATAAACAGGTTGGGTTAAGGTTGACCTTCTGACACGAAGTGACCCGAATTAACACGATTAATTATATGTGTTACTTATAAATTAATTATATATGATATAACATGAAATTTTATATGATTTATTAAATACAAATAATATGTATTTCAAAACATTTTAAATAAAATTTTACTTTTTTTTCTTAAAAGAAAAAATAAATTGACCGACAAAATTGTAAAACGTGACATGATGGTCTTAATTATACTAATTATTTATTCAATATATTAATTTAAATGGGTTATGCGAGTTAACACGATTAATATAATTAATAAATGGGTCGTGTTTGAGTTAATGTTCTCTAACAGGATCAATAAACGGAGTGAATACGAACAAGACCCATTAACACGAATCGTTACCCCTAATCACATGTACAGAATCGTTAGAAAATTGACAAAAAACCTTAAGAGTTAAGGAATTTGTTTTGCTAAAATTAAAAAAGAGAGACCAAATGGTCGCTTACTAAAGAGTTAAGGGATCGACGGTGTAAATTACTAAAAATTAAATTATACTATAACAAAACAAAATTCTTTCTTTTAGGATGATGTCCCTAAATAATATTGTTCATGTATAAGGAGAGTTTGCATCGCCAGAGTGGTGGGAACTCATGTCGCCGCACGACAAGGAATATTATGAAGGTACGAGATCGCAGGGCAAAGTGGTGTCTTTCTTGCACAATGGAGAGGCGGGTTGCAAAATAGTGACGGTTGTGGGCTTGTGGCAATATGAGTTTAATAGCAGTAAGGCTATGTTTGGAAGTTAGATTTTATGAGTGAAAAAAAAAATTGAAGGAAAAAGAAAGTTGCGCATATTTTAAAATATAAAAAATAAACAAAAGTAGATAAGTCAAAATGGACTTTCAATTAAAATGTGTGTTTTGGTTGAGTATGGTTTACATATAGGAAATAAATTTAGGGATTTTTTATGGTGGAACCTCAATAAGTGCTCTATCGGTGGAGTATTACTTTTTAACCGTTGAATTAGTTTTTTAACGGTCAAATCTGTGCAAGTTCGTATTAAAAACTTATAGTGCTCCGCACAATACTACTTTTACTGCAGATTTGACCGTTAAAAAAGTAATCTAATAAAACAAAAGTGCTCTACCGGTGGAGCACTTATTAGGATTTCACCATAAAAAATCCCATAAATTTAGGAGGCAAATCACATAAAAGATCTAAAAAAATCAATTAAGAGGCACATATAAAAATAAATGGGTTAATCTCACAATGGTCTCTGAAGTTTACCTTTAAATTTATTTTGGTCTATGAATTTTAAAATGTCTTACAGTTTGTCCTTAAGGTTTTATTTTATTTTAGTTTTGGTCTTTCGGTTAGCTTGATGTTAAATATTTCACAGAATCTGTAAAAATTAAGAACCACAATTTGAAACATATAAGTTTAAAGACTAAAACAACACAAAAAGTTAGTTTTTACAGATAATCCCAAAATTTTAATTGTTTCTAAATTTTAGTTCCTAATTTACACATATTTTATTAAATTTTAACACATAGTTAATAGAAGGATCGAAACTGAAACAAAATAAAATTTCAATGACCAATTATAAAACGTTTAAAAAGTCAGAGACCAAAATGAGATTGAGGATAAGCCTTAAGGACCATTGTAAAATTAACCATAAAAAAATTTAAATGAGAGGCCTTAGGAGATAAATAATATTAATTAGGATGTATTTTTCAAAAAATAATTTTAGTGGGTAATAATAAAATTGTGTATTTTTAAATAACATTACATAATTAAAAAATATTTTTTAAAGTGAGTAAATTAGAGAGCATGTATATATGAGAAAAGTTTAACTCGAATGATGCATGAAAAAGATTTTTAATTAGAGACATATTTAAAAAAAATATTTTAATAAATAAATTGTGAAAAACATATATTTATAAGGCCACTTTGAATGTACTGATATTTTAGAGGACTGTATAAAAATTATCAAACCACTCAAATTAAAAAAAAATCAATTTTTAGTTTGATTAATCTAAACATACAAAAAAGAGCCAAAAAAATTATCTCTTATTTGACCATTTGTCATCCTCTTATTTGTTCTTCATATTTTGTTTTTATTTTATTTTATTAATTCTTTTCGCTTTTTTTAAAAATTTCTATACAGTTTATTTTTATCATTTCATTTTCATTTTTTATATTTTTCTTTTCTTTTGCTTATTGTCTTTTTATTTTTTTATATTTCCTCTAATATTCTTTCACAATTTATTTTTTAAAATATCTTTTTGAAAATACTTTTTTTAACTTTCTTTTAATTTAAATAATTCTTTTTAAATATCTCTCTATTTAAGTTTTTTTGTCAAAACTCTAATATAACTTTAATTCTCTTTCGATGTGATTTTTTAAAATATTTTTTTCTCTTACTCTAATTAATTGATTTAGGGCTCGTTCAGTTCTCTATTTGAGTTTTTAATTTTAATTTGTTACAGTAAAAAATTATCATAAAAAGTCATATTTAATTTTTTCTGTTATAATAAAAAATTATTATAAAAAATCACATATCAATTTAAATTAAAAATTCAAATTATAAAATTAATTTATAAGAAGATCGCGTATTTTAACGCAAAATAAAACTTATAATGTTGCGTAATACGTGACTCAACGATTTTAAAACAATATCCCAACAAATAGCGGGTGTTTTTTTTTTTTTTTGATAAACAAATAGCGATTTCCACTAATCGATCTCTTGGGCCTGTTTGTTTGCGTTTTCGTTTTCGTTTTTCACGGTTTTCAAAGCAAAAAAATGAAAACGGGTGTTAAAAACGTGTTTGGTGCAATTTTTTTTAAAAAACAAAACCAAAAACGTTTTTGTCTTTTTTGTGGAAATCAACTTATAATGTTGCGTAATACGTGACTCAACGATTTTAAAACAATATCCCAACAAATAGCGGGTGTTTTTTTTTTTTTTTTGATAAACAAATAGCGATTTCCACTAATCGATCTCTTGTTTTTTTCCCTTAAAGAATTCGATAATTTATTTTATTTTGTAGTTATTTTCACCTTCGCTCTTCTTTGATTAAACATTAGTACATCTCAGTTGGTTGAAAGAGAAAACCGAAGATATTAGTCAAACTCACGTGTCTCGTTCAAGTTCCGAGTGCCCTCGCTCGTGTAACCGTAGCAACCTTAAAGATGTCACATTTTCGTACGGTGATGATGGATAAAATAAATATAAAAAATAACAAATTAAAAAAATCCGCATAAAGAGAGACAGAGAGGGGATCCGAAAGGCGCAAGCGAGTAAATAGTGCCAAGAATGAAGAATCTACAAATTCTAATTCTATAAAAGAAATTTAGAGTCCCTTAATTTTACTGATTTGAGTTTATAATTTGAGTTGAGATGTGATTTTGTGTGAGAATTTTTTACTGTAGTAAAAAAATTAAATGTGACTGTTTTTGAAAATTTTTTACTGTAATAAAATTCAAATTCTAAACTCAAATCGACGATCTGTTTCTGAAAATTTTTTACTGTAATAAAATTCAAATTCTAAACTCAAATCGACGAAATGAACGGGACCTAAAATTACACAAATATATAAACAAATATCCATAAAAAATAATTTACAAATTACATGCAAAAGGAAAAAAAAAAGAAAGAAAAGCAAAAGCAAAAGCAGAGGGAAGAATTGAAGAAAGAAAGAAAGAAAGAAAGAAAACAATGGCCGGGAAGAGGAATAAAAGCGACGTTACCAGACGTCCTCTGTATCTCTGCTTTAACACAAAATGAAAAACGACAACGACAACGACAACGAAAACGGGAACGAGAAAACCAACGTTCCTTTCTGTAAATCCTGATATCTGCATTCTCTTTCTTCTTCTTTTTCTTCTACTTCTTCTTCATTGTACGGCTATGGAGTTCTTTGACGGGCTGATTCTCGAGGATTTTTGAGATCAATTTGGTCTGCTATTTTTCATTTTTGTTCTGGTATTCGATTCTTTGTGTTCAGTCGCCATGGAAGCTTTGATCGAGCTCTGCGACCTGATTGCGCAGAATCCGACCCAGTTTTCCGAGAAGCTCGCGTGGATTTGTGGCCGATGTCCTCCGCCCGAGTCTCTCGGTGCCGGATCTCCTAGGGTTTCGCGGTCTCAGCTCAATGCCGTTCTCGCCGTCGCTCGGTTCCTCTCGAAATGCCCCGATTCCGCCGATCTACGCCCCAAAGCAGTGGTCGTTGAGTTTCTTCGCTCTGTTCCGTCGTCGTTCAACCAGTCTTTTTGGCCGCAGGCGTTCGGAACCGACGCGATCGCTTCGTTCTTCTCCGATTTCTTGGGATACGTGTCGAAAGCGGCCGAATTGTCGCCAGATTTTGCCTCGGAGATCGCAGGGTTCACAGGCGAGGTTGTTATGTCTGCGATTAGTAATGGAGGCGGTGATTTGGGAATTTCTAGGGCATTTCTAACGGCTCTGTCGGAGAGTTTTCCTCCAATTTTGTCTTCCGATGCGGAAAGATTGATTAACCTACTCTTCGATCAGCTTTCGATGTCTGGTCCTGTGGTTCAGTCCCCCACCACGCCGAGAGAGCGAGTTCGGGCGAATTCTGAGACGTCCTCGTCACAGAGCTCGCCAATGAGCGTGAAACATTACCAACCGAACGATAGTTCGAGCCCCGGAAACGAGGCGAGCCAGGTTTCAGGTTCGTCTGGCAGCGCGGCATCACGAGTGGGGGACGATGCCATCAGCGCCACCTCATCTAGGAGCTCGGTGATTGTGAATGGGGGCGGCATTTTATGGAAGAGTGGCGTTGAGCCATTCAATGATGGAGGTGGTGGAGCTGCGTTGCTTAGGCAGCAAGTTTCTTCCTTTGAGGAAGAGCCGGTGGAGAGCTTGGAGAAGCAAGAAGTTGCACTCAAGTTGATTGCTCACATTGTTGATAAAGTCCGCATTGATGCCGGGCTATTAGAGCAGGTTAGGTTGATTGCTAAGAGGCAGCTGCAATCCATGACAGTTTTTCTAAAGGTAAGATCTTTTCTGTACCTGGTTTTAACATCATGTCATTGCAATTAAAACTCGTTCTTTAAAGGGTCAGGGTAGAACTTATTTTAGCAGGGAATGCTGAAATTATATATTTGATATGAGTGGTGATATGGTGGCAGATACGGAAGCGGGATTGGAGTGAACATGGGGCACTTCTGAAAGCTAGAATCAATACAAAACTATTAGTTTATAAAGCTGCTGCTACATTGATGCTTAAGAGCCTTGCTTGCTTTGATTCCGATGCTAAACTGGCAAAGAAGTTGGCACATGAGACTCTAGCATTGTTCATGGATGCTGTGGAAGCATGCTTGCTCTCTGTGTGGCGCAAGTTGAGAATCTGTGAAGAGCTCTTTGGCTCCTTGCTTGCTGGGCTATCGCAAATTGCTGTGACTCGAGGAGGCCAGTCACTGCGGATTTTGCTCATCCGGCTGAAGCCTGTCGTGCTAACAGTATGTGCTCAGGTAAATAGTTTGGATCGATTTAGATTCATTTTACATGCCAAATCATGTTCATTAGTGGGGGAAAAAAATATCCACTTAACGTTTTTCCTTTGTACAACGTATTGGCACAGGCTGATACTTGGGCCACTAGCCAGGGAGCAATGTTTGAGAGTGTCATGAAGACGAGTTGTGAAATAATTGAATGTTGCTGGAGCAAAGAGCGAGGTCCGGTGGATACATTCATTATGGGATTAGCTTCTAGCATCCGTGAACGAAATGATTATGAGGAGCAGGTCTGTATATGTTCCTGCGTAATGTATATCTGAACATGGACTTTTGGTTGATTCTGAATAAATTGTATGCTTACACATATCATTTCTTTAGTTATCCTGTCTTTGATTGAGTCTTTTCATTTTGTTTGTGGCAAGAGCATATAATCATAGCATGTGCGGTTTCCTCAGCAGCAAAACTCTTTAAGATTACAGATTCCTTTAGCGCTAACTGATATGAAGTCAGTGGTCTCTTCTTGCTTTGTGGAACTCATAACCAACGGTTAAATTCATTCTATTTTTCAATTCCAGGTTGACAAAGACAAATCGGCAATACCAGTTGTGCAGCTTAACGTTATACGCTTGCTGGCAGATTTGAATGTTGCTGTTAACGAGTCTGAAGTGGTCAACATGATATTACCTCTATTTATTGAGAGCTTAGAAGAGGGCGATGCTTCAACTCCTAGTTTATTGCGACTCCGAGTATGGAACCTCTTTCTTTGGAGCAATGTATTTGCTTATATGTTGTTGATGTTATTTCGTCAAGTAATTTGTTTGCACATATTAAAGAATTTGTACAGTGAGTTTTTTTGTCTCTTCATTTGAGTTTAGAGCCCGTTTAGTTGGAGGATTCGTTCTTTGATTCGAATCATGGTTTATGGTTCGCTACAATATTTTCTCTCATAAAAAACACACGTAAATCGAAAATGGTTCTAATCCACGAACCAAACGGGCTCAATAATGCAAAAAACTCATTTCGCATTTTAATAATTTATTGCAGCTTCTTGATGCTGTGTCTAGCATGGCAAGTTTGGGTTTTGAAAAGTCCTACCGTGAGACAGTTGTTTTAATGACAAGAAGTTACTTGAACAAACTTTCAAGTGTAGGATCCGCAGAAAGCAAAACAGTGGCACCAGAAGCTACAACAGAGCGTGTTGAGGTCAGTATTGTCTCAGAATAATGGGCCATTCTTTATATATTTATAAGTTGCTTGGTGAAGTATCCATTGGATTGAAGCTCACAGTTTCAATCACATTCTAGACTCTGCCTGCAGGGTTCCTTCTAATTGCTTGTGGTCTTAAGAATGCTAAGCTGCGTTCAGATTACCGTCACCGCTTGCTATCTTTGTGCTCGGATGTAGGGCTGGCTGCTGAGTCCAAAAGTGGAAGGTAGAACTTCTAGAAACACATATGCTGATATGTCTTGCTCATCTTTGTTTTGTTTTGTTTTGTTTTTTTTGATTTGACAAAGTAGACCTCTGATCTTTTATCCTTTTCACATTGGGTGACGTGTTTAAATTATATTCTTTTCGTGCTATATTCAACTGTCACAGGAGTGGAGCTGATTTCCTTGGGCCTTTACTTCCTGCTGTTGCTGAAATATGTTCTGATTTTGATCCAACTGTAGATGTGGAACCTTCACTTTTGAAGTTATTTCGCAACTTGTGGTTCTATGTTGCTCTGTTTGGTTTAGCACCTCCCGTACAAAAAATACAACAACCAATAAAATCAGTATCCACTACATTGAACAGTGTGGGTAGCATGGGTACAATTGCTCTACAAGCTGTTGGGGGACCATACATGTGGAATACACAGTGGTCTTCTGCTGTCCAGCGAATTGCTCAAGGAACTCCTCCTCTTGTAAGTTGTGACTTTGAAGTGGCTTTGTGCATAATGCTCGTTTTCTCTTTCTATATATTTATCCTTTCAATTGCCACTGAAAGGCAACATCAGAAATTGGGAATGACTTCTCAAGCTTAGTGTCAGAGTATACTTGAATGCCTTAGATAAAGGTTATGTGGTGGTATGTAAAGCATGATTTGTTCTAGCACAAAAAAGGAAAAAAAAAAATTAAGGGATGATCTTATTAAACGAAGAAGGTTGCTGCACAGCAATAATTTTGGGGAATTTGGTTGGAAGGGAGTCAGACTTTTTGATGATAGTGAGGAAGAAAGTGTTGTAGTTAAATTTAGTCAGGAGCTGGGCTCCATTTTTGTAGCTTTTGTTTGCACTCTGGCTATTGAGAATACATATTCCTCTTGGTTTAGACATTTGGACTAAAAGTAGGGCCAAGTTGGACGCATCTAACTACTAATCAATGGCTGCACCAATTGGATTTGTACTGAAACCATAGTGACCGACTTGTCCAAACTTCAAAGTGCCCCTCCAGATTGTTAAATTTTGGATTCTCCATGTTGAATCTGACTCCTTGCATATTATTTATGTGTTCAAAACTGATGTTCTCTCTGTCTGTAATGGTTTCTTTAAAAAATTTCAAATTTGTATAATGCTCACTTTTTTTTTTCTTTTTTCTTTTCAGGTTGTTAGTTATGTGAAATGGCTTGAAGATGAGTTAGAGCTCAATGCCCTTCACAACCCTGGCAGTCGTAGAGGGAGTGGCAATGAGAAAGCTGCTGTAGCCCAAAGAACCGCGCTCTCTGCTGCTCTTGGAGGACGCGTTGATGTTGGATCAATGAGCACAATTTCAGGTCTTTCAAATACCTAGTCTATCAGTCAATCAAAATTGCTTTTCTTGTCTCAAATGATTCTTCTAAAGTGATTTTGTTGGCTTTGGCAGAAAAAGGGTTTTTTTTTTTGATGCTTTTCCCCCTTTTTTCTCTGTTAAGAAACCGGAGGTTGTTCTAATATTTTTGTTTTAGAATTGAATCTCACCAAATGTGTTAGATTAGATTTCTTTGTCAATCTTTCATTTTATCATCTGACCCTTGGAAATTACCATGCACTATTTGCAGGTGTAAAGGCTACGTATCTTCTTGCTGTAGCATTTTTGGAGATTATACGCTTCAGCAGCAATGGTGGCATCCTTAATGGCAGCATTGAGTTAACTGCTTCTAGAAGTGCATTCAGTTGTGTATTTGAGTACTTAAAAACTCCAAACCTTATGCCTGCTGTATTCCAATGCTTAATGGCAATTGTCCATCGTGCTTTTGAAACAGCAGTATCATGGCTGGTATGTTTTTCTTGTGCAAAAAACTCGAGCTTATACCCTTTCCGTTTGTTCATCTTCCTTGCTAGAGTCAAATGGGATACATTATTTGATTTTACTCTTCGACAAAGAAAATGTTTGGTCTTTTCTTAAATTTACTTTTAAGTTTTAAGTGACGGGAAATACGTAATTTGGCACAACAAAGAAGGCTGTTAAATTTCAAAGATGACATAAAAAAGCAGAAACACCAGCTGACGTTTTCATTCCAGTGAAATGTTCGCCTGATTGTGGCGGTATTCCTCTTTTATGTTTATGTGTCTACATAATGCCCAACATCACTAAGGCTTTGATTTGGTTTCAGGAAGATAGGATATCTGAAACAGGCAAGGAAGCTGAGGTCAGAGAGTTAACACTTTCTGCTCATGCCTGTTTTCTTATCAAAAGTATGTCCCTGAGGGAGGAACATATTCGTGAGGTTGCGGTGAATCTGTTGACTCAAATTAGAGATAGATTCCCCCAGGTAAATTATGCTAACAAAGGAAATTCTCACTCATTACCTTTGGCTATTTAACTTGCATGGTTAAGTTTCAAGGAATGGAACAACATGCATGCAGGTTTTGTGGAATTCATCATGTTTCGATTCCCTGCTGTTCTCAATGCATAATGATTCTCCTTCTACTGTTGTCAATGATCCTGCTTGGGTGGTGACTGTTCGTTCTTTATACCAAAAAGTTGTTCGAGAATGGATCATTAAATCACTTTCCTATGCTCCTTGCACTAGCCAGGGTCTTTTACAGGTTAGCAACTTTACTATGAAATTAGTGGTATTTCTTTCTAAGTGTCTGAATATGTGAACTTTCTGTTGTATCAAGTCCCATGGAAACTTCTATAAATTTTCCCTCTCATATGTTTGACTTTTAACCCACCTTGTCTGAACAATAATTAGTGATTAGCAATTTAGAATCTTTATCTTTTTCTCTAGGTCATATTGAGCCATTGGTGGTTTGTTTATATATTTTTTTTCTTTTTCATATTATCCTCCCACGTTTTCCCTTTCTTTGTGCGTGATAATATATACTTTTATGTTTATATGTTGTAGAAAGTAGTCGACCCTTGTATTTAGTTAGGAAGTTATTTATTTTCTTAGAATAGATTTCAATTTCTATATTTTAGTTTATGTTTTTCTTAATTAGATTTTGTAGTTTCCCGTTTTCCTATTTTGGTGGAATTCCTGATTTACAGGGATTCTATTTTCCTTTTTCAGTGGACTGGTATGCCAGCCACCCTAGCCTATATATTAGGATGTAAATCATTATTTTCTGGAATGAGAATAATCATAATTATTCCCATTGATTTCTTCATGGTATCAGAGCCCTAGGTTTTTGAACCCTAATCCGTTCCAAACACTTCTTTCCCTTGCCGTACTCTCATCATGACAAAATACGGCATGGCCTCACAATCTTCTTCCTCGGAAGTCACTTCTAGATCCGAACCTAATTCTTCAGCCCCTATCGTCCTCGATACTTATTCTCATCTTGTCACAAATCATAAACTTCATGGCCATAATTTTCTTCAATGGTCACAGTCCGTTTTCATGTACATCTGCGGCAGAGGGAAGGATGGACATCTCACAGGCGAAATCTCTGCTCATCTCTGCTCCAGAAACGACAGATCCTAAATACCGGGCCTGGAAAACTGATGATCACTTGGTTATGTCATGGCTAATAAATTCCATGACCATGGAGGTTGGACAGCCAAGGAGATATGGGAGGCTGCACATGAAACGTATTCCAGCATTGAGAATTCCTCAGAGTTATTTGAGATTGAGACCAGATTATATGATCTACGACAGGGAGAATTGAGTGTTACTCAATATTTCAACACTCACACACGCTGTTGGCTGCAATTGGACATGTATGAGATTTATTCCTGGAAATAATGCCCTGATGACTCTGCCTTGTATAGGAAGATTGTTGAACAAAAAAGGACCATCAGATTTCTTCTTGGCCTCAATAAAGACCTAGACGAAGTCAGGGGGAGAATCATGGGGATTAAACCTCTTCCAACTATTCGGGAGGCCTTTGCAGAAGTTCGTAGAGAGGAGAGCAGAAAGAAACTGATGATGACAGACAACCACACCACACCCACTTTTGAAGGGTCAGCCTTGTACACTCACAATTCCTCTCAGAATAATAAGCCTAGGAAAGGACGACCATGGTGCGACCATTGTAAGAAACTTGGTCATGTGAAGGAGACATGCTGGAGAATACATGGAAAACCTGCAGATTGGAAGCCATCTAGTGAGCGATATGACAGGGAGAACCGTGCAAATGCTGCTGCCACAATAGAAAATAATGCATAATTCAGTCCATTCACCAAGGAACAAATTGAGGCACTGCAGAAAATGCTTGGTCACGTTTCCAGTTCCGGACAAGCACCACAATCCTCTACCGAGCAACCTACCAGCCTTCTAGCACACCAAGGTATCCTATCCTATGCTCATATTGTCCAAAATAGGACACCAAAACCTTGGATAGTTGACTCGGGAGCCTCGGATCATATGACTGGAGACATTAACTGTTTCAGAAATTACAGTCCATGTACTAGTCACTCTGCAGTCCGAATAGCTAATGGTTCATTCTCGCCAGTAGCAGGAACCGGATCAGTCCAATTAACAAAGGATCTTCACCTTTACTCTGTCCTTTATGTCCCTAAATTAGACTGCAATCTACTCTCAATCAGCAAACTTACTCGTGACTTAAAATGTGCGACTAAATTCTATTCCAATTTTTGTGATTTTCAGGCAGTGGATTCGGGGAAGGTGATTGGCAGTGCTAACATGCGTGGTGGCCTATATTTGCTCAAAGAAAATAATCTCCTTGGTAGACAAGTTCACCGGTCAAGTTGTGTTTCTGAGTCTAGTTCAAATTCTGTCAATCTTGTTTCCAATTCTGTGTCCAATTCTGTTTCAGTTGAGAGTCAAGTCATGTTATGGCATTTTCGCCTTGGTCATCCAAATTTTGGGTACATTGAAAAGTTGTTTCCACATTTGTTTATCAATAAAAAATCCAATTTTTACCAATGTTAAATTTGCCAGCTTGCAAAACATACTAGACATGTATATTTTAGTTTACAATACAAGCCTTCTGAAAGCATGAATAATACTTTCTGTTTATTATTATTATTTAATTCTGTACATAGGGCTTCTATTTATAATACAATTGTGAAAACTAAATCTCCTAAAAACGTGGCCTAGAGAATAGGAAGGTTATTTGCTGAATCAAACCAAATCAGGAAACACCTTATCCTAAATCCAGAAACCGATTCTCAGCCTAAAGATCTAGGATTTCAACACTCCCCCTCAAGTTGGATCATAGATGTTGATCATGTCCAACTTGTTTAAGAAATCATCGAATTTTTGTCTTATGAGCCCTTTGGTGAAGATATTAGCCGTCTGATCTTGAGTAGGAACGTAGGTCATGCAAATGATTCCCTTCTCCACTTTCTCTTTGATGAAATGTCTATCAACTTCCACGTGCTTGTTCCTGTCATGTTGGACATGATTAAGAGATATGTTGATTGCTGCTTTGTTATCACAGTAGAGTTTAACTGGGAACTCTACTGTGACTTGAAATTCTTCTAGGAGTTTTTTAGCCATAGTGCTTCACATATTCCTTGAGCAACTGCCCTAAACTCTGCTTCAGCACTGCTTCGAGCCACCACATTCTGCTTCTTACTCCTCCAGGTTACTAGGTTCCCCCATACAAACGTACAATATCTTGAGGTGGACCTTCTGTCTTCAATCGAGCCTGCCCAGTTTGCATATGTGTAGACTTCTATTCCCCTGCAGTCGTTTTTTTTTGAAGAGTAGTCCTCTGCCAGGTGAGCCCTTGAGATTTCTGAGTATTTTGTATACTGCCTCCATATGAGCTTCCCTTGGTGAGTGCATGTGTTGACTCACTGCACTTACTGCAAATGCAATATCAGGTATGGTATGAGACAAGTATATTAGTTTGCCTACTAGTCTCTGATATCTGTCTTTGTCAACCATCTTTCCAGCATCTTTAGTCTTCTTTCCCACTTCAATAGGGGTGTCACTAGGTTTGCATCCAAGCATACCGGTCTCCGTGAGTAGATCAAGGACTTATTTTCTTTGGGAGACACTGATCCCTTTCTTTGATCTAGCAACTTCCATTCCCAAGAAATACCTCATTCGCCCTTGATCTTTTACTTCAAACTCTGTAGCTAGAATCCTCTTCAACTCTTCTATTTTTGCCTCATTATCGCCGGTAAGAATTATATCATCCACATAGACTATTAGGATTGTCTTTTTCCCATCTTTGACTTGTTTGAAGAACATAGTATGATCTGATTGTCCCTGTAGGTATCCTTGGCCCTTTACTACTCTAGCAAACCTGTCAAACCATGCTCTTGGGGACTGCTTGAGACCATAGAGTGACCTCTTAAGTTTACATACTTGCTTCTCTTCCTGCCCTTCACTAAACCCCGGCAGTAATTTCATGTAGACTTCCTCTTCTAATTCTCCATTCAAGAATGCATTCTTTTATGTCAAGTTGGTGAAGTGGCCAATCCAAATTGGATGCCAATGATAGGAGAACCCATACTGTATTTAGTTTTGCCACAGGAGCGAATGTTTCGGTGTAGTCGATGCCATAAGTCTGTGTAAAACCCTTGGCAACGAGACGTGCTTTGTATCGCTCTATTGTTCCATCGGCTCTGCATTTTAGGGTAAACACCCACTTGCAGCCTACTGGCTTTTTTCCTCTTGGCAACTCCATTACCTCCCAAGTCTCATTTTTCTCCAGGGCTCTCATTTCTTCCATAACTGCATTCCTCCACTCAGGCACGACTAGTGCCTCCTGTATATTCTTCGGAGTTTCTGCATTGTTGAGATTAGAGTCATGCTCGATAACCAGGAGATAACTTTTCGTGTGACACAAAGTTGGAGATAGGATGAAGTGTACATGAACGTGGTTTTTTTCGGTGAGCAATGGGAAGATCAATATCAGCAGTTTCAGAGGTGCTAGGGTTACCTTTTTCTGTGATTGGCTCATTCACTTCTGGATCTATCCCCGGGTTAGACTCTTTCGGTGCTGCAGAAGTGAGGTTTTCTTGTTTTTTCGACTTTGGCCTCCTTGAATAGACTAGCAACTCCCTGTTCCTTTGCGTTTCCACATCTCCCCCTGAGTTCAAGTGTCCTTCTGTATATGGCATATTAGAATGAGAAGAACGAAAGATGGTGTTTTCGTTTCCTGAGACAGACTCAGAAGGAAGAAGTTCAAAATCCACAAAATGATCTTCATTAGAACTCTCCCCCTGAAGAGAAGTTTTCTGGAAAAAAGGAGTGTTTTCAAAAAATGTAACATCATGACTAACAAATACTCTTTTTGTGGAAGGATCAAAGCATTTGTAGCCCTTTTTTGTAGGGGAATAGCCAATGAAAACACACTTAGTGGCCCTTGGATCCAGCTTACTCCGGTTTTGAGAGTGAACATGGACAAACGTGGTGCAGCCAAACACCTTAAGAGGTAAATTTGAGTGTAAACGAGTAGTGGGGAAGACTTTCTTAAGGGTGTTGAGAGGAGTATCAAACGAAAAGACTCAACTGGGCATTCTATTGATAAGATAGGCGGATGTCAAAATGGCATCCCCCTAGAACATTTTTGGTATGTGGGCAGTGAACATCAAGGCTTGGGCTACCTCAAGTAAGTGTTTGTTTTTCCGTTCGCCAACTCCATTTTGTTGTGGAGTGTCAACACAAGAACTCTGGTGAATA